AAATATGTAATTTTATAACAATAATTGAAAGTTTATTTGCTATATTAATTGTGACTATGACTAATTACCAAGGCCACTATAAATTGGTGACCTCGTAAAAAAACTTTAAATGCAATTTTTTCTTATAAAAAGCGTTTCGCTTCAACAAATTTTTTAAAAATGTCATATATTCAGACGCACCTCTTAAGCGACCGTATAATAACAACTATATTTCAGTTATATAACTGTTTAATTTTCTGGAAAAATGTTTATGATTATTTCAAAATGGATTATGAATATTTATTTAATCGTTTCATCCCAAGCAAGGCGATAATGCCACTAAGACGCAGCGCGTTACAGTGAAAGAGAATGAGAATGGAGAGGATTGAGGAACGGACAGAAAAGGAAGATTGCGTTGAAGAATGAAAAAGAATGCCGCCGTAGGGTGCAGACCCCAATGCCCATTATATATATATATATATATATATATTTGGTTAGATAGATGTGAGTTTGTGACCCTGGGTTTCACGCTTTAGCGATCGTTAGCTCTATCTTTGATATTGAGCGCTTTCTAATAAGTACCGCGCATATAATATATAAATCTCCAGTTGCCTTGATCTATCCACTACCCTCATCCTTTCTTCTATCACTCCTATCTGATCTTGCTATTTCCTGTAACCCCTTGCATCCTAGTGGCTTCCCGACTTGCTTGGGGTGAAACGCTTAAAAAAAAAAAATTATACATATATATATTTATTTATATTTATATACCCTTTTCACATATATATATATATATATATATATATATATATAATTCTTGTATATATATATATTTCTTGCGTATATATATATATATATATATATATATATATATATATATATATATATATATATATATACCTCTTGAGTTTGTCCCGAGTGTACACATCCTGAATGCAGCCGCGTCAACCAGCTGTTTGCAGGTTGGAACCAACCACTGACAATGGATGCACAAATTAACACCTTGTAGAAGGTTGCCTTCCATGTCAAACCACTGCAGAACGTGGCTTTTCTGAGACATTGCTGTAACGCTTAGGGCAAAGTCTATTTTTGGTATCATCTAGGGTTATTGCAGATCAACTTCTCTTTGAACAATTCGTTTCAATCCATCTGGTGTTTCCTGGCGTGAATTATATGCTGTAGACGTTGTAAACATACTGGGAAATTTCTTCGTCTTTCAACAAATGGAAAAATTACCCGATATTTATGTATCATTTCTAGTCCGCGGTGATTTGAACAATAACTGGGAAAAAACAAGTGAGCAGAAATATGAAATTAAAGATATGGTGTGAAATACAAATGCATATCATGTTTCCATTATATTGGTTATTTTATTCAAGGATTCACTAGGCGTAGTCTTATCTGTAGGTAGGTGACGTTTGTCACATACCAGCACTTTCTTTTCAGCTAGTGCGAAGTCCAGCTTTCTGGTACCACTTATTTAACGAGCTCTATATCACGACGCATGGCTCACAAGTAGATTGAAATATTAACAGACGACCCGGAAATCTCTAACTTCTGGCAAAATGAGATTTAAACCCGAAATTATTCGAAAAGATCAATTCCATAATTTGCATAGTTGTGTAAATACATCTGGCTCTGAGATATATATATATATATATATATATATATATATATATATATATATATATATATATATATATATGATTATTTATTTAAAAATTACAACATAAATATGTTATAAAATCACTACAAAAATAGTCATTTTGTTTCAATACCTCCGGTGTCTTATCAAGTGATGATGTTGAATGTAAAATAAATGGTTTTAAAAGTTTCAAATTAATTAACGATCCTTCGCAAGGGGAAAACGCTGTTACATAAGATAAAATGACCAATCAAAACACAAGTATAAGAGAATTCAAAAAACTTGACAACAAAGTAAGGTTATAATAGCTATTAAGAGCTTTAAATTTGGGGTTATACTAAAATAGAATTTATTCTAACCAATAAGTATTAAATTATATGATAAAATTTGATATTAAAATTAAAAGTAAAAAATTACCAATTTTAAAATCTAAATTTAATCTCTATTAAGTTTAAAATTATAAAATTACTGAGGAGAAAAGAAAAAATACATATGTTATTCAATTTATTTTTTCATTGAAATTACGTTAAATTAGACGCCAATATCGGCTGGTCTTCCTGACAAAATGTATATATTTTAATTCCAAGTGTGTGAGTGGGGTGCTAACCTCTCGCGTAAAACAATACAAACACACTCCGATTATAATACATAAGCACTCAGAACAGTCAAAGTGCTATGTCGTATCATGAAAATATATTTTCAGTTTTGAGCTGGGCGAATTCGGACTGTCATCTTAATGTATTAGAGATGATATATATATTAAGTCTTTTCAGCTCACCTTCTGAAGAAGACTCTCATTTAAATCTAAATATTCCGTTTGTTGTTCACTGGAGCAAAGGATGGCTTGTTAATTTTAACGCCTCTAAAATTAAGGTGCTCTCTATTAATCATCTGAGAGGCCCCTTTCTGCCTTCCAACAGCATGGCTGATGATAACCTCCCAGGAGAGCGACTCGTTGTGCCTTCTCGAACTAACGTTCTCGGCTGACATGAGAGTGAAAAAACTATATAGAATCCATTGCTAGTTGGTTTACTGTCCCGTGCTACACAATTTTGCTCTCTCTTCTCTTATATCTATAAGTCTGCCATTCGTCCATGCTCCTGTTATATATCTAGAGATCCTTGATAACATCCAAAGAAGAATCAGCAATATCATTGGTCCTAATCTTGCATCTCGGCTTCAGTTACTTTCCAACCGCCGTAAAGTTGCCTCTTTGTGTCTTTTCTATGAATATGCTCATCGTAATTGTTCGGAGTTCTTCGCTGTGGTATTGTTTCATCGATATACAATTGAGTTGGCTAGATGTAAGCCTAAGTTCTATTTTAACAGTTTCTTTACTCACACTTGGAACTCCCTTGCGGCTCCATGCTTTCCAGCCAACTTTAATCTTCAAAAATTTTTTAATGCAATCTTAATCGCTATCTACCGTCCTCTTGATTACTCCTCTTCAGTACTCGCTACTTAGTTTCTCTTTTCTCATTCTTCCTCAACCAGTAACCCCTTGTGCGTTAGTGGTTTAATTCCTTGCTTGGGAGGAACTTGATTAAAAAAAAACATCAGTGATATATATATATATATATATATATATATATAGATAGATAGATAGATAGATAGATAGATAGATAGATCTAGTAAGCCCGACAAACCTACCCAGGTTTCACCTAAGCGGATCGTCAGGGAAAGCTGGCTAAAGAGGCAAAAGAGAAACGGCATATTTATAGGCGATAATCAAAATCATACCACGTGACCAAAGAAAAAGAATAGAAAAACAAGACAAGAAAAAAACAACACAACACCGGGGGGGGTAATGATTTATTCAAACGGCAAAAAGGGGAGGGGATATTTAACACGAACAATAAAGGTGGAATGACAATACAAACAGGGGAGATTAGACCTAATTCAATAACCAAGATTTTCTATGCCTACATAGGTTAAGAATCTCGGTTTTTGAGTTTAATAGTTCGTTAGGTTGATTATATAAAGCTATGGCTAATTTCTCCTCTGTACATAGCTTACAAAATTTTGGGCCTGCTTTATATTTGGGACATTTTTTTAATATTTCCCATTTAAGGATGGGGTCTTTAATGTTTTCTTGTCTAATTTTCCATACATAGGTGGATAGCGTGGTACTATGTTTAGTTTTTTCATTTTTAAAACTTTTTTTTTTTTAAGCATTTCACCCCAAGCAAGGCAGGACGCCATTAAGACGCAAGGGGTTGCAGGAAATTTGGAGCAAGATCAGATAGGAGTGATAGAAGAAAGGATGAGGAGAAGAGTAGTGGATAGATCAAGGCAACTGGAGATGTCGATTAACATTACCTGGACATTATAGCTCTCAGGGAAACTGGAATAGGGAAGGGAGTTCCACAGGCGAGAGGTGCGAGACATGAAGCTATTAGAGTAGAAGAGACGGCTACATTTAGGAGTTTCGACAGTGAAAGGGTGAGAGCGGGATGCCAGCCTCGTCGGGCGCTTGAACCCATGACGTCTGGGAACCAGCGAATGCAGCTCCTCGGAGCAATTACCATGAAAGTATTTGTAAAACAGACAGAGAGAGGCGACGGCACGTCTGTGAGAAAGTGACTGTAGACGAGATGCCAGAACAGAGCCAATTATATTGCATATCCGCCTCTGGGGCCTATCAAGAACCCCGAGGCAAACAGAAGGGGCTCCAGACCATATATGGCAGCAATACTCCATGCAAGGGCAAATTGTTGATTTGAAGATCTGGAGGATCGATTCCGGGGAGAAAAATTTCTTGGCGCGCCACAGGGAGCCAACTTTACTCGTTTTATTATAATATCTTTTTTTAAAATATCCTGAGTAGCTCCTATGTACACTTTAGGGTCTGTATCCTCCATATCCTTATAAATTTTTGATATATATATATATATATATATATATATATATATATATATATATTATTATTATATTAATATATGCATAACTTCATTAATGTTTCTCTATTTATTCACTGTACACAGTCCTTTTAAGTTCTCGACTGAGGTCTGAATAATAAGGAACGAAAAAACAGTCGGGCTCTGTGTCCTCCTTTCTTATTTTTTTCTTTCTTTTCGATTGACCGTCTACGATAATTATAAGTTTTTACCTTTTCTTTTGATCCCTTTACTCTTCGATTAAAAATGTCTGTTTTAATGGCGATAATAAAATGTATTTATTTTCTCTATTTCCTTTCGGTCAATGAGTGACCGTTTGAAGCCCAGATAAAAATCATTTGGGGACCATTTCACTTCGTGTGTGTTCTAATGACAACTGTAACTTCAATCTATCGCCAGATAAAAGTACATCCTGACGAAATGCCTAAGACAGCAGTAACTTCCCATTTCAGATTGTTAGATTATAATTAGATACTTTTCAGATGTAAAACACCGATTCTCTTACGTTCACCGAAGTTAAACAACGTCGAGCCTGGCCAGTACTTAGATGGGTGTCCGCGTGAAAATACCAGGTGCTGTAAACTTGAATGTGCAGTGGTGTAAGGGATAACAGTTCGGCATTGGAAATCGGAAAGCTGAGTTCCAATTTCAGTCGGGTTTGTCATATTCGCTTACGCGCAAGGTGGAGTAATGGATAACGACTCGGACTGAGGAATCAGAGAGCCGGGTTCGAAATCCATTCGAATCCATTACATTCACTTACATGTTAATACCCTTGGGAAATGTATGAATCCTCTTCTTCTGTCCCCAGCTATGGGCAAATAGCAGGACAGACCGGGTTCTATAGATTTGGATGGCAACTGGTCTAGCGCAGAAAGAAATGGCAACCAACTGCGAGAAAAATCTGCCTCGTCAGTCATGTATCGAAAGATACATGATCGCTTAAGCGTGTATCACGCATGGCACATAACTGACAGAATGGGACTTGTATCAGTAAATCATTATTATCTCCCAAAATAATTCTTAAAATGTAAAAATATTTTCTGGCGTTAAATAATTTGCAAAAGGTTGATAATCCGTAAAAACAAATTAATCAATCAATTTTCAAATATAAAAAAAATGTGGCAACATTTTAAAGAATTAGGCACATATTTGCTAAGGGAGTTGAATGTCTGTACTTAGAGATTAAAGAACAAATGAAATGATTTAGTGTTTAAATTTTTAGATTAAAACAATTTAAGATTTCTTTGTCACAATGCACCCTTAATATTTTCACTGCTTCATTGCTATGGCATTGTTGTCTGGCTGTGCTGGACTGATTTGGGAAAAGCAGGAAATTGCTATTTACTGCAAATAAATGACTATAAAAACATTGACGTTGATTTCGCATAGACGTCACTATTTTAGTTTCAGCAGCATAATCCCCGGTGCTGACCAAGATAAACGACACCCACTGCTGACCTGAAGTGGAACAACTATATTGAATCTATAGCTTCATCTACCGCAAGGAAAGTTGGTTCTCTGTGTCGCGACAGAAGGTTTTTCTCGCCGGAGTCCATCATCCTTCAAATATACAAATCTGCCATTTGTCCTTGCATGGATTACTGATGCCATATATGGTCTGGTGCTCTCGATCTTCATCTCGAAGTCCTCGACAAAATCCAGAGATGGATATGCAACGCGGTTGGTCCTGATCTGGCATCTCGTCTGAAGTCGCTATATCACAGACGTGCTGTGGCTTCCCTCTGCCTTTTCTACAAGTACTTTCATGGCAACTGCTCCAACGAGCTACGTTCACTAGTTCCCAAACTGCACGAATCTAAGCGTGCTACTAGGTCGGCATCTCAGTCCCACCCTTTCACTCTCGAAACGGTTAAATGTAGCCGCCTCTTCTACTCCAATAGCTTCATGTCTCGCACTTCCCGTCTGTGGAACTCCCTTCATCTTAGTTGCTTCTGCATGAATTTAAGCGTGCTACTAGGTTGGCATGTCGCTCCCACCGTTTCACTGTCGAAACGACTAAATGTAGCCATCTCTTCTACTCTAACAGTTTCTTATCTCGCACCTCCCGTCAGTGGCACTCCCTTCCTATCACTTGCTTCCCTGATAGCTATAATCTTCAAATATTCAAATGTAATGTCAATCGACGTCTTGTGATGCCCTGTCCTTGATGCCTCTCTTTATCTTTATACTTTTACCAAACACTCCTCTTCACTCTTACTCTCACTCTCACTAACCCCTTGCGTGCTAGTGGCATTCCCGCATTGCTTGGAGCGATTTGCTTTAGAAAAAAGAAGAAAAAAAAAACATATAATAAAAATGCTTCACAAAGCAGGTCATATTGCACGCTACTATATCTCTACGCTGGTTTGGAAATACTAATTAGCGTTGGTTTGTTTACAACATAAAAGCTAGGTGTCTTTAAAAAATATATATATATATATATATATATATATATATATATCGACAGCAGATAAAAACAAGTTTCGTAAAGGCGTATAAGGACGTCTTGACAAGGTATACGTACTTCAACAGTGGAACAGGCGGGTGTGATTACAACATATCTGAACGGTTGAACCAGCGGATAAAGAGGGATACGTATGATGGACATGCCACAGAAGGCGCCACTTGAAATTGTAACAGAGTCAGCGGCTGTCCGTTGCAGTTGCATAACTGTATTCTGCATGTCTCATTCCATATGTGCCGCAGAGGAAGGTCATGAAATCAAGTGTGCGGATCACATACTGACAAGTTGAGGTCCACCTTAAACAAGTTCACGCCATCGGCACTTTCTTCTACTGTGAGTTTTTGGTGAAATTGGAAGCTTCTAGTCCTGAATCTGGCGGTGAATGTGGTCATAAAAGTCTATCATCATAAAGGAAGTGATCAACAAATAAGAAATTAAATTCTTGGATACCAGATAACGTCCACGACGACGACGCCGACAATAGGCAATGTAAATTTCGGTAAGACGTCAATATACTTCTTGAAAACGTATATCTACGTCAACAGAAGCAAAGTGTTAATGAGAATTTTGGAGATTATAATATGAGTGAAGATATTATACTCTCTAATAAAATGGTGAATGAATTGGCGTCTTTTACATACAAAAATTCCAAGTATTTACGGAGAGTTTTCGGTATAATGCCAATATATATCCCTGTACCAAAATTGTACTAATTCTGTATGGAAGTATGGCATTATTTTCCAGTTGTTCTTTCAAATTATCTGATACTGACAAAGACTCTTTTAATGATACTGTGCAACAACTTTGCCATATAACTGTCCCTGCATCTTACGTGCAACCTAGCCACTTGTATTCGAGGGTATCCGTCTACTAAGGTGGCTAGCCAATCCCTTTACAGACGCTCGCTCAAGCACATTTGTGTTTACTAAACACTCACCGAACCCACCTGTGGTTTATACTGCAACTATGCTAAGCAGACCTTAGTTACAGTTTTTCGGAGTTTTTCGTGTTATCTAGCGTGATCCCCAATTTGCAGCATGCTCAAGCCCTGACTTGTGACTTCATGCTAGCACAGCTCTCGACGGACCCCATGAGTTCCGTCTATACAATTTCATTCACTCGTTGTATGGTTTTCAGGCACTTTCCAAAGTTGGATCGAGGTCGATCCAGTCCGATAACATCAGGAAGGAGATCATGGTCAGAAAGCGAACGTTCTAACCACCCGGCCACGTGCCCATTACCTGCAACCTATCAAATGATCAGTAGCCAGTCTCCTTTTGATATCTACAGACAGTTGGTACAGCTTTACACCAAATGACAGATGGCTTATCCACTTCGATTGGTATCTTTTACTGAATATTGCCACAAACTCGGGCAAAGTTTCTAGGATCATATTTAATAAACTCTTCACTTTCACCACTTCGTTGATGGTCCTCACCTGATTTTACTGACAGGCCATAAACCATTATACAGTATTTTTACAGTTTAAATCAGGCAAAATTAGAATCGTAGTGGCACCATATGGACTGCAGCCATAGCTGTAGCAGTGTGTCTTGGGCAAGAAAGCCTGGTGCAGCTCCTTCATATTCAGGCTGGTTTTGAATTCGGAGTTTTTCTTCTTTTAAACTCATTGCACCTTAATGTAAGAAAGCCCAATCAGCTCTGTTATTTAACCTATAGCTGAAGGTAAAAGGGGGCTGATAGATTTATATCTTTCCCATGGATATTTTTTTTTTTTGCGAGCGTAACGAAGTTGACCGGAATACAGACTCAGCTTGTCGATTTCTCTTTCCGAGTTGTTAAGCATTACACACCCTGCAGATATTAAAAGGCAGTCGAAGCATAATGGCCGATCAGCTTTTTACGATTTTAATCAGGAGTAGATAGGCTCGCCTATCGTCGGGTTCATGTTTCTTCCCGATTTTTTGAATAGAAGTACGGGTTTATCTATTATTTTCTGTTTAGGACTGGGTTTTCGGTTCCTTCAACCCTGTACTTCTGACGTCTCCGCTTGAAATCTGAAAATTTATTCAGTAATTATTATTACTTTTTCCTCTCTCAATATGAGTAGAGAGGTTTGGCTATAGATAATTTTTCTACTTCACACTCCTCCCCGGTCTTTTGAACAGGAGTAGAGGTTCATCCTTTGTATCATGTTCCTTCTAAAGTCTACTTCAACTCTATACTCCGCCTGAACTCTTAAATTTTATTAGCTAATTAAATATTAACCTCTTCAAGTTTAGAATTAGCTATTTTTCTTGCTCTTTCTTATGCTAATACAACTCCACACAATAACCCACAAATTTAATCACTGTCTTTCTCTTTACCCTTTTCCTAAACAGCTAACGTATAAATATTTCAGAGATATGTGAAAAATTCACAGAAACATGTTACACCGACCTCACTCCACTTAGTGAAATGGGGGAGGTACTACTGCAGGATTGAAATCCCCGGGAGAAGCAGATATCATGTTTTCATCCCAGCCACCGACCCTATTAGTGAAATGAGGAAGGTGCTGCTGCAGGGTTGGTATCCGCACCCTACACGGTTACGGTATATGACACAAGGCCGGTGTAAAGTGGTGAGCCTAAGCGTGTGCTCATGGACCCAGTCTAAATACTGCACGTTCCTCGCAACCAACGTCGCGCTTGCGTCGATATTCCACCGACCGTCTCTCTTTTGTGCAATGAAGGAGGTGCTGCCGCGTTGTTGGAACACATTTATTGTGTTATGTCAGAAGACAATTGAGAGATAAAATGTAGTTTGTCCACCAGAAGCTAAACACTACGCTTTGTTCCCAACGAAAAAAGCATCCACATGAAATCAAGTAACATGTTTACAACAGAAATCTTTCTTGTAAAAATGTAAATAAATTGAAGTTTTTGCATGTTTATTTGATTAATTGCTAACATGACGTATGACTAATTAGTAACACCCCTATAAACTCGGCGCTCCAATAATAATAATAATAATAATAATAATATCAATAATAGATACGAGAATAATTTAAATAATAGTTTGAAAATATCCCGAGGACCTTTGCTATAACAATGAATACGTTTTGGTGCTCCAAATATAAGTTTAGACAATATAAACCTATAGTGAAGAAGGGGCTAGAAGCAACAGAAATGTGGTTTTGCAGAAGGATGCTGAGGATACCATGGTTTAGGAGAAATAACAAAAAGATAAAATTTATTAAGAGCTACGAAGGAGAGGAAATTGTGGAGAGCCATGATCACCAACGTCCTGGTGGGACATGACACATAAAAACAGAAGAATATTTACAGGGCATGACTATTTGATTGCTAATAATTTTTATATAAGTCAGTGTCTGCAGGCTGCTAATTTACAAGACGGATCAGTCCTGATCAGTCCTGATGGGGTCGACTTGGTGAGGAGCAGTATAATGTTTGAAAAACCCGAAACTGCCCAATGATCCAAATCAGAACATCGATGATGACGCCCTCTAGCGCTAAAAAGCGTTTATTCACAGTAGAGTATTAAGTGACAGGAGTCTGTGGTTAGAATATATAATCAGTGTTAATCTGTGAAACACCCGTTCTCGTTCAATCCCCAAAGTTAAGCAACGTTGAGGCTGGTCAGTAACTAGATAGGTGACCGCTCTGGAATACCAGGTGCTGTACATTTATATCTGCGGGTAGCGTAAGGGAAAAGACTGCTACATAACATCGGACCTCGTATATGGCAGTAAATGCTGGACAATCTCATCACAGATGAAGAAGTGTCTTGAAGCAACAGAAATATGGTTTTAGAGAAGGTCGCCGAGAATACCATGACATAATGTGAGCGACGACAAAGTTTTAGAGAAAATGGAATCAAAAAGGACACATACTTAACACCAGAAAAGAAAAGTTGAAATTTCTATGGGACATGATGAGGAAAGAGGGCTTGGAAAATGTGATACTCACAGGAGAGATTTAAGGCAAGAGGGACATAGAAAAACAACGCGTAACCTATTTAGTGAGCTTGAGCAAATGAATAACGGGACAGGGTTTAGGAGAAATAACAAAAATATAGCTACGAAGGACAGGGAAATGTGGAGAGGCATGATCGTCTACGTCCTGAAGGGACATGGCACATAAAGAAGAAATGTTGTTGGAAGTCTCTGATAGAATACTAATGAAAGTGTCGATGATTCAAGGTGATATGATGTTACATGGTGACCATACACCTGGCATGAACACGTAAATAAATCGGTCGGTCGCTGTGTAAATAAAGTGAGAGAGAAAAAAACATCCATCCCAGCACCTTCGAGATCCTGTCCACAAAACTCGAGACGTAACTCTCACTAATGTAAGCATTGTTCTTTTCTTATTTTCTTTTCTTTTCTTTCTTGCTTGAAAATCTCACGTGACATAGGAGATCGTATTTTCAATTTAATTTCGTTTATCTCCCATTTCAAAAGAAATAAATGAAAATAAAGAAAAAATAAAGTTTAAATAAAATAAAATTAAATTAAACAGATGTTTCCCTTCGATTTCAAACAGTTAAGTTTATTTACACAATAATATTTGCTTTCATTGTCAACATGTTTATTTTGTTACAAAACTGCTTCACGGAATTGTAAAAGGAGTAATAGTAGTTAGTACTCATACTACTATTACTAGTAGTAGTACAAACTAAAGTTCTAAAATGATTTTTAAGTATTTCGAGTTGAAAGTATGTCATATGAAAGTAAAAGATTTTGCCAGAGTGCGGATAGAATGTATATAAATCTTTATTTGATATTTTTTTTTTTTTTTTTTTGTAATAAACGAAAATAATAAAAATACAAAAAAAGGCTTGATTTAATCTTAATTTCTACGAAAACTTCCTTCTAACACGATCAATTCTTGTAGTTTCGTCGTGATGACGTAATCACCACATGCCACCCCATACCGCGGAGGAAAAAAAAACGGATGCCCTAAAGCAATAAATGAATCTCTTAACAGGAATTTCTTTTCTTTTTCTTTTTTAATCGAAATCACCCCATGCAAAGCAGGTGTATTTACTAACCTCCCCACGCGATCAGATGTAGCACAGGGCCGAATTTAATGTGGGGCATCCGAGCCCGTGTGCTCAGCCAAAAATTCCCCGTAGAACCCGTATAAAACGGGGTCGGGTAGCTGTTTCCCGAGACGAGACTCTGCCTTTCGACATAGCCTCGTTTGGGGATCCTCTCCGCTCGGAGGCAGAGAGTTTGACCAGCACAGCTAGAAAAGGTTCCAGCTAGACTATGCAACCCATGCAAAGTAGTAAATCCACTAAGACACAAGGGGTTACTGGATGTGAAAGAATTAGAAAACAAAAGTATTACTGAGGAGAAAAAACAATAGAAGAGTAATCAAGAAGACAGTAGATAACGATCGATATTGCATTTAAATTTTTGAAAATCAAACGTAACTGGAAAACAAGACGCTCGACGAGAGTACCGCAAGCCAGATTTGCGAGGAAAGAAACTGTTAGCATAAAACTTACGGTTGCATTTAACAAATTCAACTTTAAATTGACGATACCTTGTTGCTAATCTAGTACTATGCTTAAATTCCTAAGTCTAGCTACCATAGCAAAGAGCTCCTCCGAACAATTAGCATGAAAGTATTTATAGAAACAACTTTATGGTGGTGGGAAAGTGACTGAAGCCGAGACGCCAGGACAGGACTAATATTATTGCTGATTCTTTGAAGAAAATAAGAAATAAAGAAATTTATAGATTACTCCATCTACGCCATCATGTGCACCTTTTTCATGACAAATCGGATACGTCCTATAAGTAAATAGATGAATTACTTTGCTCTAGATATCTATAGGTGGATAATTTTATAAAAAAAATATCCAGTCCTGTAAAATCTATGAATAAGAAAATCCTTTTTTTTTTTCGTGATTTTAAAAAAAAAACTGCCAGCTTTGAGCATAACGTAATCGTTTTTAAATATTTTTTAATGCGATGGTCACCGGCTATTATTATTGTTATTACATAAATCAAAATTAAAATAATTAAATAGAAATTAAAAGAAAACTGTGCATTGAAATTGTTTCAAAATCAGAATTCAGTAATTTAAATTTAAGAAAATTGAGTTATATTTGCCGCCTGAAGAATTTTCTTTGCTAGGAAGTTGTGGAGAGCCATGATCGTCCACCTCCTAAAAGGACACGGCACAGAAAATTTATTTTTATTTCGGGGGCTTGCATGTATGTATGTATAGGCGCTCATGCGAACGCGCGCGATTATGCGCGCATGTGCGATTATGTGTGTGTGTATATGCGTGTGTGTGAACGCGCGCGTAAGCGCTAACTTCGGTTAAGTTTTTGTGGTGCCAGTTCGTTGACTACAGTGGCTGAGTAAGGCAGTTGGGTTGGAGGTGGGGGTAAGCCAAAGAAAGAAAGCAAGAGAGAGAACGCAAGAACAGTAAATAGTTGTAAATTGTTGAATGCGAGGCGAAAAAAAGGGAAAATGGTAGCTGGCTCAGTAAGTAGTGAGGTCTGTGGAACGTAGGAACAAGAAATTAATTTTAAGTTAACTTTCATTCAAAAGTTGCACCTGCAAAATTTCAAACAATTAATAAAACAAGAACAACAAAAATGATTACTCATTTTATTTCCATTTATAATCTCATTCTATTCATATCGTTCTATCTATCTTTCTACCTATTTCCTTCTATGCGTATCTAAGTTTGTTGTATATGTCATAGGTACGTATTACTTCATAGTTAATAACTCATTATTTACACTGTTTACATTGTTCGAACTGTTCTCCTTTGTTGCTATATTCCCGATGTTTCGGCCTTCTTCAGGTGATTGGAACTTCGAAAGGAATCCTTTATTTTGTCCATCGGGGTAGATTGTTCTAGTTCTACGTGCCATGCCTCAGTTGTCTCCTTTTAACTAAACTATCCAAGTTTTTGCTCACCAGGTAGCCAAGTATTGAACTCACAACTCTTTGAGTCAAGTCACAGGATCCAACCAACGTTTTTATCCACTGAGCCATGTATCTTTGAGGACACCAGTGTATAAATTTTTTGGACTTATAAACCTAATATTTCATTTTCATTTTTTTTTTACCAGATTTATCTTTGAGGACACCAGTGTATGAATTTTTTGGACTTATAAACCTAATATTTCAGAGTACATGTTTTTTACCAGAGCTCATATTACAATTGTGGTTATTATTATTTTTCTCAAGCACTCAGTATGGCTCAGTAGATTGGATCCTGTATGTATTTTCTCAAGCACTCCGTATGGCTCATCGGTTGGATCATGTGACTTGACCCAAAGAGTTGTGTCATTAATACCGGGCTTCTGCAGTGATGAACAAAAACTTGGAGAGTTTAGTCAAAGGAAGATAACTGAGACACCCGGAAGAGGCATGGCACGTGGAACTAGAACAATCTACCCCGGTGGTCGAAATAATGGGTTCATTTCGAAATTCCAATCACCTGAAGAAGGCCGGATTGTACAACGGCCGAAACGCCGTGAATATGGCAACGAAGATGGGGACAACAGTCCAAACAATATAAATAGTGTAAATAATTAAAATACCTCATCTCAGAAATATAGACAGACAGATATTGATCACTCGTATGTACAAATCTGGTGTATAAAGTTTCTTTGATGGAAGGAAATAGAAAAATAGCCATAAAACAGATATATTTCTCGAAATACCTAAATAAACTCCGAAATAAAGTCGAGAGAAAAGAAAGAAAGAAAGAAAGAAAGAAAGGAAGGAGAAAATTACTTTCACTCTGAAATGGGGCGATAAAAAAAAAAATGTAAAAACAAACAAAAGATAATGATATATAGGAAATATTTACAAGAGTTAACCTAGTTTGACACAAGAGCCCCTTATTGAGAGTACGTGTGAGAATCTAAGCTCGCAATTTAAAAATAATTAACAATGTTGGATAACAAGTTGTCAAAAGTCTATTTTCCTGATATATACAAATTTATATCACAAATTCTCCAATAATTAATTTCTTAACTAAGGCTGTACAGTCGAAACATAATTTTACTGAGTTTGACACAGGGTTCGATCGAAGAGCTCTTAGTGAGAATCGATTTCACTAGGTTACCGACAAGTTATAAGGAGTACGCACAATGCTTCCATGGTTTGTCCCTCTCGCCCTACGGTAGGTGAGAATTTATAACTTTTTTTTTTTTTTTTTTTTAACTCCAGTGGAACGATAACATCCACTTCGTGTATTGGCAACAACTTGTCAAGTGTCAAAAACAAACAAACGAAAGAATTTATGAATAATCAATCACTGATTAAATTATTATAGATAATCTCCCTTCGTCAGGACTTGACCTGTGTCTCGTGTATATATTCCACTCCCACGTCACTTACCCTCCGCCCCAGCTGTCGATATTCAAAAGCGGGTAGAAAATACAAATATTGATTTCTAAAATAAGCATGTTTTCCCCTACTTGCAAAAATGTGACAACACAGTCTTCCTTTCCGATTAGTATAGTATCAGTTCTCCTCTCAAAACTATAAGGGAAGCCGAGTCCAGGAAATCCTAACCCTTAGACGGCACCTTCCTCATTGCGCTAAAAAGTGAGTTTTGGTGGATAACGACATCAGTGGGACAGTGGTCACAGGAACTAGGCAGCTTTTTGTCCTTGGCCTATATGTACCGGACTCCATATTAAACAAACCTGGTGTCACAACCTATCGCCGTGGGAAGGTGGGTCGTTTTTCTCTTGTGTTTTCTTAATAAATAAAGTGTTGATATATCTTGTATATGCGTTGTATAGTTACTTCAACAGACCCGCCGTCCAAAAAAGCCTCAGGTCAGGCCCACCACTACTGCCTGAATCATATTTTGTTCCTACAACTGTGATCGTATCAACCAGTAAAGTATACGCCGTATCGAGAGAAGCAAAACAGAAAGAAAGAAAGAAAGAAAGAAACAAACAAACAAACAAACAAACAAACAAAACAAAACAAAACAAACGAACGGACGACAGAAAGAAAGAAAGAAAGAAAGAAAGAAAGAAAGAAAGAAAGAAAGAAAGCGACTGTCAGGTAAAGTTTATGCCTCGTAAAGTAATGGAATGCAATGATAACGTTACAGAAATAGGAAGGGTGTAAAACGCATTTGATGAAATCGAACTATGAAATCAAAAACAAAACAAGTTTATTCATGCAACAAATAAAAAAGTCTTTAGTTTAAAACTGACAAGGGTTTCCGTCAAAATGACGAGACTATGTATCGATCGGTAAATTGGCTTATGATCAGAGTACCTGTGCGCTCTGCCTAGGATCGGAGTATCTGTGCGGTTTGCCTAGGATCAGTGTGCAGAATCTGTTCCTGTCTGCCAGGTTCCAGGGCTGAGATATAGGACGCGGCTCCGTGTTCTCTGCCCCTGGTTCACAGCTTAACAATGAGGAATATCTGGTTCTGTGAATTCCAACTCTACGATAGCACAATTCTAACATTACAAAAAGGGAGAGGGTCTGCGTGAGATGGATCGCGGGAAATGTGCAGCTTTTGCACCGTGGTGCCCATATCTACTCGCATGGGCAACCAACGTGAAACCAACCAATCTAACCACTCTAATAGTGAATGGGGGAGGTGGTGATGGCAGTATTATAGGTAGTGGTGGTGGTGCTGCTAGGAACTAAATTTAGGATCAAAGTGTAGTATAGATTGATAGATATAGGTGCGGATGAAACTGAATATAACATCACTCAGCTAATAGACAAATTACATTTATTTGTATTAATTCTATATAAATATAATGTGTGTGTATGTGTGTGTGTGTGTGTGTGCGTGTGTGTGCGTGTGTGTATTTATGGTTTCTTTATCTGACATTATTTCATAATACTCTAAAAACCTTAGTTTTTTTTTTTTTTTTTTTTAAACAGTGGGAATTTACGTCTACCGGCCTGAGCAATCGAAAAATTTAATAAAATAAATTCCAGAGAGAAACTATTTAAGAGCATTTAATCAAACATGTATATTCAGGTCGATCAATTTTGTTTTCTTTATTTTTCGAAATACAATCGAAATAAAATATGTATGTATATTTCGAAATACAATATGTGTGTGTGTTTGTGTGTGTGTGTGTTTGTGCTTGTGTGTGTATTATTGTTGGCAGATATGAAGAGTAATAGACATGTTGGCATGGGTATAGATAGATAGATAGATAGATAGATAGATAGATAGATAGATAGATAGATAGATAGATATCACGGAATTGCCACATATCTCCCCATCCTAATTTAACCTTTGAACATCCTAGAATTGAAAGTTACTGTAAATAAATATTCTTAAAGACTAGAGTTGTATTTTCAAATTCTGTTTCTTATATTTTTAACCGTGTAGGATATGTATATATAAATTTACTTTCTAAAATATATAAATATATATGTTTGCGTGTGTTTGTGTGTGTGCGTATGTGTGTTTGTGTGAGTGTGTGTTTGTGTATGTGTTTGCATTTATATGGATTATTGAATTTTACAATATAACATACTACGCTCTTATACACCTGTATTTTAGTTTTATAATTTGCAAAATTTATTATCGTCCGGTACTAGGCTGTAAGAGCACGACACCTGGTGAGGATTGAAATAACAAAATGTGCTGCTCGTTAACCAATCCTGTTCATCACGGTTCCATGGTCCGTCGTCCTACTGGGGAAATGTATTTATCAAAATATTTATCAAAGTTTCAACATTTTGTAGCTAATTTAGAATGAAAAATAAAATAAAATTGTTTCTAAATAAACTGTCATTTTTGTGTATTACAAGCTTTTCGTTAGTACAGGTTTAGTGAGGTGACATGAACTTTTAAAGTTTCAAATATTCTACGTAAAGTTGCCACTATGATAAACGGACATTTTCCCCTATCTGTTTCACACTTTTAAAGTAGATAGAATTTAATAATTAACTATTATATGTTGTTTATTAAACTGGTTTATAGAAATTAAGATTTTACCAAGAATATTTTATTTTCAAATTAGCGAGGAATCTTTGTTTACAATTCGAACGCATTTTTATTATATTTTTTTTTATGTTGTATATTATTTATTTCTTGCAAATTGCACCTTAAAAAGTCAGAAACAGAATCAAAAAAGAGGTAAAAAGTATCACGGGCATAGAAAGTTTTAGTAACCAAACGGTATATATGGGATAGAAGAATTTCAAGTTGTATATAAAGATGTAGCTGACGCTATACTTTTTCTGCCCTAATTACGTATTAACTTGCACGTTGCTACTTAATTATCTTACCCAACATGTACGTGGCGTTGTTACAAGATGGGCGCTACAAAAAGAAACATTAATCTTTTCTTCTTTTCTTTCCTTTTCTTTTTTTTTTTTTTTTTTTTTTTTTACGAGCTTGGTTTGTATTCTGGAGTTTGTTACGAGAGAATAAATGTCATTCATTATAAATTCAACAAAAGTAGACGCCACACAAGCGCGTGCGCACGCGCGAACTCACGCATGCGCAAATAAACTTCTACATGGTCATATATACAAATATAAAAATGTATACATTGTCATACGTGCATATATATATATATATATATATATGTATGTGTGTGTCTGTCTGTCTGTGTGTGTGTGCGTGTGCGTGTGCGTGGATACTTGAGATTTACATTAGCCTGTACTTTTGGAATTGTTAGTCCAAGTAAAAAAATATCTTAACAATCTGTCAATACTTATAAAAGGCAGAATTATTTTATTGTGCAGTGTTTAAAACTTTCGTTTTCTTTATTTATTTACAGTTATATATGACTTGTAAAATTTGTCCAAATGGATATGAATGGACCAGTTTACAGTAAGGGCAGTTTTTTTTTAATCAATTCACCTCTAATAATGCGATAATGCCACTATGACGCAAGGGGCTACTGTGAGTGAAAGAGAATGAGAAAAACCTAATCCTAAACAGGAAACAAGGGATAAACATCTACTCCTGTTCAACAGAGCGGGGAGGAGTGTGATATAATATAAATAAAAACACACTTCTACAGCAAGTCTTAATCGTTCACGTATATGATGCAATAAATAAATGCTTAGGAGACAAGTACCTCACAATCTTCAGTATTTCTTCACCCTCACTTCTTGGCCTCATGCCAAACTAACATTGTGTAAATATAAATAAAGCCATGTGAACTTGTTAGACTTTTAAAAAGAAAAGATAACAATTACATAACTTTTATTTACACTATTTATATTCGGACTATTACTCTTGTCTTTATCGTTGTTATCACAACGTTTCGGCCGCTGTGCCCACCGGCCTTCATCAGATGTATATCGATCTGTGTAACCTACAGGAAATTCTGAAATTAACCCTTTATTTAATCTACGCGGTTAGAGTGTTCTCTTTCCAATGCCTATGCCTAGGGATATATCGTCTAGTTCTTATTTTTACAACTGCTCAGTCTTACGGCCATAACATGTTGAAAACCGGTTCCTGTATGATCACTAGATTTAAGCAAAGTCGAGCCTGGCCAGTACCTGGATGGGTGACCGTTTGGGAATACCAGGTGCTGTAAGCTTAGATGTGCGGGTGGTGTAATGAATAATAGCTCGGAATTGTTAACCGGAGAGCCGAGTTCCAATACACATTGAGTTCGACATATTCACTTAAGTAAAAATACCTTTGGGAAAGATATGGCTTCACCTCTCCCCCCCCCCCCAGCTAAGGTTTAATTAGTGGGTCTTATATCGCTAGCCCGTTATTATCTCTAAAAAAAGAATTTTTACAATTTAAAAATATTTTCTGGCTATAATTAACCTGCAAAAGTTTGATAAAGCGTAGAAAATAAATTCATCTAAGTACGCATTGCCCGGACCAACGATTGAACTCGCAATGACTGTCATAAAACTCACGAACTACTGCTTTAATTTACTGGGTTATTTGTCCCATGTGTGAAAATTGTTTTTAATTGTTTTGTTTTTTGTTGTTGATTTTTTATTTTTTTTCTAATTTTATTTATTTACTTAAGCGTACTCAAGCATTTACTCCTAATGGGAAAAAATTAACATTAATAAAGTTAAAGAAAA